GTGGATAACTTCTGGCAGCGCGAAGGGTCCCGTCCAGACGACAGGACGGACCGTTCGGGCACCTAGCCGGGGCGTCCGAGCCGCCGACCTCGGGACCGTCGGGAGGCCCGCGGGTAGCCCCGTCCGCGATCGGCCCCCTTCGGGACTTGGAGCGAACCGCGTCCGGGGAAGGGAGAGGAAGCCCCGACCCGACGAATCGGGCGGACCCCGACCCGCGACGGCCCCGCCGAGGGGAACACAACTTCTGGCAGCGCGAAGGGTCCCGTCCAGACGACAGGACGGACCGTTCGGGCGGTGGGAGACCCTCGCCGGGCGAACGGCGAGGAGAGGAGAGGAGAGGAGATGAGATGAGATGCGAGGAGAGCAACGTCTGACCGCGCGGAGGGTCCTGTCTAGACGACAAGACGGACCGTCCGGGCGTGAGGTTGGTCTCATCGGATCGCGGAAACGATGTCCGCTCTCGCGAATTAATACGCCTCTCCCGAGAACCAAGTCGTTTACGAATGGTCCGGGCGTGCTGCCTTGGACTTATGCTTAATCGCGCCGCCGCTATCGGGCCCCAGGGTTCTCCGCGCCCGGCCGCGGCAAGTTGCGAGCTTGTGGCTTTATCGCACCGCGGCCGTGCGGGCGCGGCCCTATCGTCCCGCGTTCGGCGATAACCGGCTGCCCGGCGCGCGGGACGCCGCCCGGCCCGCCGAGGCGAACCGAGCGGCCCGCGCCAGGGATCGGCCGCGCCGGAGCGCGAACCGATTCTCGTTGCCTGTCCGTGCAGAGACGGCGGACGGGACCGGGACCGCGCGGGCGCCCCGAGAGACGCCCGACGACCCCGGCGGAACCCCGCCCGGGGTGAACCGTCTGTTTCCTCGCCCGTACGTGTTAGGTACTGTCCTCGCTTTCCGCTTTCGAATAGGCGAACCCCTCTCGGGGAACCGCGCCTCTGCGTTCCGAGACTCGGTACAGGGTCCCGCTTCAGACGCTGTCAGAGGTGGGCCCTCCGGACGTAGTCGTGCACCATCGTCCGATCGGGCGAGTGCCGGTCCAGAGGTCCGGGGCACCCGTTCCTCTCGTACTCGTGTGCCATACCGTCGCGAAGACGACGTCGCTAGTTGGGTGATACGATTTGCCTGTCGGCGGACAGATACAATTTCAACAAAACAGCATACAATAACACTTCACCCTTATGATACAATTACTGAGAGCAACCGTCCCGTGTATGCGGCGCAGTGGGTATTCCGACATACAGATGAGAGATTAGCTTTCGGCATGAGGAAGGTTTATCGGAGACTGTCAGAGACTGCCGTGCTCAGTGAACCCCCAATGCACAGTACCAATGGTCACCACCCACAAGATACAGTGAGCGACAGCAACCGGGCCGTGTGTCGGGCGAACCGAGTCGCCCACTCTTTGGCAGAGAAGCCCATGAGTTCCCCGGCGGCCACCCTCGAGTCCTACCGCCTAGCCCTGGATGGCGAAGGAGACTGGCCCGCAGCGCGACTGCGTCGTTAGGCCGGACCTGTCGCTCCAAGGGGCACCGGGCAATCCCGGCTGCGGAGACCCCGCCCCGGCGTCAAGCCCCACACCCTCACTCCCCCCCAGGAACTTGGCTTGAGCGCCACTCGGCGAGCGGAGGGCCTTCGCGACGTCCAGCCCCGCCCTGGTTGGTGAGGGGGAGCTTCCTGGCGGCGTCCGAGGGAGCCCCGCAAGTCAGCAAGGAGCGAGACGGGAGAGACGCTTCCCCGCCGCACCGCCCGGTTGCCTTCGATAACCATACATAGGGCCGACCAAACCAGAACCAACACTGTGGCCCGCCGCTGAAACCGACAGAAGCCCGAGCGGCACATGCCATTCCCGTCCAAGACCCCAGCTTACAACCGCTGCGTAAAGAACTTGACGCCGACCCCATCCGTAATGCCAGGTAACCCCACTCCAGCAATTGTATAAAATGCCCTTGTCGCAGCGACCCAACGTCGATCCTGGTGCCATGCCCGTGAACCGGCAAAATGGCAGACGAGAGCCACCGCAACCACAGCCAAGCAGCCAGCAAAGTTCTTAAGCCGCACCGAAATTTGATCATAATATATCGCCCCGCCATCTATTAGATAAAATCAGGCTTAAGGGAACCCGATAAGTGATCTCAGTTAGCAGTAGCTCTCAGCGGCCCCTATCTCTCGCCGGGCATAGGCGAGGTAGACTTGTCACAGACTCCCGCCGCAATGGGAGCCTGGCCGGCCGCATAGACTCCAGCGGTTCTCCTCGCGCCTTGCACGCACCTGCACTCCGCCGTGAGGAAGCGCAGGAGGCATCCGTGCAGTCCTGATTCCAATGGCGTAGAGGCTCTGACTGTGAGTTTAAGCGGGAGATGGCCGTACGGCCCGGAGCAGCACCCCTCCGTAGAGTCTGGGGAAAGATCCACTAGAGAAGAAACCACCTGCGCCTGTTGACAGGCACCCCATAACGGAGCCCCCCCCCACTCCAAGGACTACAACAGGACCGAATACCCCTCCACCATCGGCCCGACACGGAACAAAGCCGGGGACCCGCCCGGCGGATTCAGGGGAGCGCCGGCGTCATCCGCGATTAGCGAGCGTCCCCGACGACCCCACGGCGACGAATCCGAGCCCAGAGCACTGAATTCGGGGTGTCACAGAGATTGCGCAGGATTAACTCCGAGCAGTGAGCCTCGGCATGTCAGCGGCTCGCCACAGGCGCTCCGCCCGCCCGCGGTCTCGTTCCATTAAGGTCGACTCGGGGGTTGAACCCCACGCGCCCTCTGGTCCGCCCGATTCAGAATTTCAGGGTCTCCCCAGAGTTGCTGCCCCGACAATGACAGCGGCTTCCCTCAATGGGCCGCCAGGCGCTGCGCAGTCAGAATAGCGGGGCCTCCGCAGAGGCCCGCGCTCGGACATCGATTAAGATCCGTGCTACCTCCGGGTGAGACGAGCAGCCGGTGAAGCAAGGCCCACAAAGTGGTGCCGATGTGACCCCCAGACCAGCGCGCCGTAAATTGTGATCCTCCCCGCGCCCAAATGTCCGGACCGGGATGGATCCCACTCGGCGTTGGGCACTGTTCGGGTCTTTGGCCCAGGGTCCTCGCAGACCGTGGACTGTCGAGACCCAGACGGTTGACTAGAAGGGCCTAGCCTTCGCCCCAGAGCATGGTAGCGGCCAAGACCAGGCAAGATTGGCCGCGGTCCGTGCCTTCTACCTGCAGAAATGGTTCGGGTGGTCCAGCATGCCCGAAAGCCGTGAGAAAGTCCGATTGATTCGAAACCCGGCTGCCCCGCGCGTGGGAGGTAATACTAGGGCCGACCCCTGCACGTGTTAGACCGTAGAGATCTCTCGCACCCGCGAGGCGCCATTGCGGCTTGAGCATTCGTCGTAACGATACCCTCACTTGTGCTCCGCCATGGTGGTTAGAAGGTTGTTCACCCTTACGCTTCCCGTGGGAAGTTAGACCTTGCACAAAGGTCAGTCGGACTCGGACAGTCCGCCAACGCTCGCCACGGGTGCATCGGCCTGAGTGGAACTGGGCGATCTGCTGCCGGCCCGGGAGAGCGCGGGGATGCTGCTCTGTTCGCCAGTTTTGCACCCTGAGTGGAGGGTCCGACGGGCGACGGCGGAGTTGGCTTCGTGCGGAGAGGGCCGCACCGGCCCACGGCGCGGTCGTCCGAAACGGTGTTCCCGCCCGCAACCACGAGGAGGTTCCGAATATGGGAGCAGGTTCCGACTTTTTATGTGAGTGGGCGTTTGACGGCGGGGCTGAGCAATAACGTTCCCAGATACTGGGGCCAGATCTCACCCGACGAAACCACGTTAAGCCCGTATCCTGGGTGTCACATGAACGACATGGCCCCGCCCAGGGTCTTACGCGGCGCGGTAAACCCCACTCACAGCTCGACCCGGCGTTTCACCGGGGACCTGCCCGGCGGATTCGGAGGAGCGACGGCGTAAACCACACGATCAGCGAGCTTCCCCGATAACCCATCGGCGACAAGTCCGAGCCCGAGGCCGTAAGTCGGGGCATCACAGAAATTGCGCGGTGGAAGGCTCCGGGGGCTGTAAGCCCCGAATTGTCAGCGGTCCGCCGTGAGTATCACTGCACTCTTGACGCGGAGGTGGGTCTATCGATCATGGCAAGGAAGAGTCACACTCAGGCGATTGCTGTAATAACCCGACTTTCCATGCAGCACCCGCGGCACCACCACCCATTTAGCACAGGGGGCGACCACAATAATTGAATCTGCCCATTCGCCACGGGAAGCGGACTTGGATCTTCGCGACCGCGTGGCGAGCTCGGCGCGTGCAGCCCGGCCACTTCCCTACCAACCGCTTTAGGCTGAGAGGTCGTGACCGAAAGTGCACTTGGCTCCTACCGGACCACTCCGCAGTGCTTGGCGCTGAGGTTTTGCCTACCATTAACTAGCAGAAACCACTCAATGGCGATGCATGGTGCTCAGACCCTGTCAGTCGTTAAGGACTTTCAGAGGGACCTGCGACTCTTTAATGAGTCTATTCCTTGCCTGCGCGTTGACCACGTGAGTGCGATCATTAGCGTAGAGCAGAGCCGGAAAGCGGCCGGCCGAGATAAATCTGCGAGCCTGAACTCCCCCATCCCCCTTGTCACATCGGCGATGACGTGTCCCTCACTAGATATTCATGGCCCCACCGCCACCGCGAAACCAGCCGTCCCTCAGGACTTGAGTGAGACAGGACGGGCAATAAATTTGGGGGGTGCGATTTTCATTAAGAAGGATATTTTACTGCGGCTTTGAGACATTGAGATATAAAACTTGCAACGGCGGAATCTGCGACACCCTAACAGTGCGCAAGGTGAGCTAGCGAATGCCCATTTCGTATGAGTTACGTCAGGCTGCGCGACGTCTGCGGGCACCACTCCGCCTACAGTGCCGGCTGCAACAGCGACCCGTCCGTTAACCGTGCGAAGCGACTGATCCGCGCCACTAGTGGCGCTTCAGTCTCTCTCGTTCTCTGCCCACTCTAAGCAGCCAACTTCGGTACATGCGGGATCTGCCGTCTCGCGCGCGGTCGCTCTGCGAGTGCACGGTCCAAACGTGCGCCATCGCTTATCGCTGAGAGCCATACTGCTAGGACAGCCGTCAGCTCCGAGCGGAAGAGGCCGCCTCGACTTCGAAGCTTAGTCCCCGATTCCCGATCGTACTTAAAATTTGTAAACTCGTGTCTAATAAATAATTCGAATTTTAGCACCAACTCGCTGGTACCGATCAAACTTTTGACTTTAGACTTGACGAGCTAGGTAAGGAGTTGTAGATTGTTAATATTGCCGGCAAGGAAATGTTTTGAAGCCTCAGTTTTAACTAGTTGACTCTCAGTGCTGCTGCTGCAAGGTAATTAGCATTGTAGTGAATCCAACCAGCTCATTATCTTTTTACGAACATTTCATATCAGAGTGAAACTCCATCATTATCAACATTTTAGTGACTTCTCTCTCGGTGTCTGTTGACCTCCGAATCGGAATAATCTTGGAATGTAACTCGTGGTTTTCATCTACTATTGACAATGAAATTACGTTTGTACCTACCTAGTGCTAGCCAGTGCTAGCTAGAACGTTTTGATCTTCCGGAGGTGTTGTGTCGCTATGCCCAAGATTTAACCTTTGCACGGATTGATACTCACGAATCAAAGGTAATTTTATTCTAATTTTAAGTACATCCTCCTATGACTCGGCTCCAAGTAAATTTGCTGTCAATTTGTGGAAGTGCAATTTCTGAAGACCTTTGTCCTTCGATAAAGGTTAAGTGCACAGGCGATTTTGAATCAGCATTGAATCGACCTATCAATTTGTTACATGTTCACTTACTTTTCCATGCCATTGCCGGATCATCAGCATTGATTCACCATTATTCTTTGATGTAAACATGGAAGTTTCATTATTTAGAATTTGTATGAAGAGCTGAAGTTACTTTCTGCTATCGCAATGTTCTAATAGCTCGCAACTACATCATTGCCTACTGGACCCATTTTGCCTTCAACTCCAAATGAGTAGTATCCTTAGTGAGACTAAAGAATTCAAGTTTCTTCTCCGTCTCAATGGCAGCTCATTAAATATAAGACACTCCAAGAGGTGTTGGAGATAGCGTTACACCCCATGATCTAGAAATTATAGACAGGGGATCCTACGCTACGTCAGCGAGAATGGTAAATTTCGTAACACACTAGGAGCAACAATTTGGGTTGGACAAGAACAGTCGGTTTCCATGCCTTCTTATGGGACTGTTGCTAAACAATGACTTACATCAAATGGACGTATTTCTGAAACTGAGCGCCAATTTGAGTTTCTTGTGAGGAATTTAGAATGCCGGATAGCGCGTTCTGTCTAACGGAACTAAGCGCCATGGAAAAGCATTGCGAGTATAGGACGGAATGAGCCCGATGCCCGGTTCCGCCGCCAATCAAAGCCCCCCTCTACCTTCATCCCCGATGGCGCTTAGTTCCGTTTCACAGAAATACGTACAAGTGTGCAATCAACTGTTTAAAATCTGCGCCCAGATATGAAACCTAGCTATTCTTCAAGTGAGTTTACGACAAAAATTTCAACCCTAAATCATTTATTGTAAAAACTGATGCGAGATCCACTGTATTTGAGGTTATAACAAAGATAGCAATCGCCCATTTCCACTCCCCGTGTACCTAGAGTACCTGTATAGCGACAGTATGGACAGATCGCTTCATGGAGGGCTTAGGGCCCGAAAGTGCAGCCACCCTTCCAACCAACTTTTAACGCACTAAATTTCACTGCCAGTCTGCAGATTCCAATTCCAACTTAGATAGCTAAGAATGTACGTAAATGAGCGTTCTTCCTCAAAATTGAGTAAATTTATGCAAAAAATGAGTCAAATACATGCTTAATAAACGATGGTTCGTAACAATTGTATTCGTAAAGTGCTCTGGATAATTGAAATTCATAGGTTGGCTGCATTTCTGGGCCCTAACTTTATTCGCAGAAGCATCGGTGAAGGCCTGATGGATTTTCGGAGTTTCACATCTGTCCATACTCTCGCTATACAGGTACTCTAGTCTGACCCAAGCATCATTAAATGTAATTCAGGTAAATTACGTCGATAAAAGGACAGCAAAGTTGTGCCAAACTATCAATAGGAAGCAGGATTTACACCACAGATTGCATTCTCGTGACTAACAGCATCCAAATATTTCCCTACCATGCGCACCAATGGATCGAAGGGAGAGCCCATTACTCTCAGTTTTTAATTACATTATTGTTCTCCTCAAGTCACGAATGCTAGTTTCCATATCTTGAAGAGATGTAGTTGTTTTCGGTGGACCCTATCAGTCTCAAGAAAAGATCTAAAAATTACTGTAATATGAGCCTTCGCCCATCACACTACATGCGACACGGTCACTATGCTCTGACCAAAATTTATTCGCTTTAAATTTTGCTTTCAACCTACGTGCTCTGGAGTGCTTGTGCTTTTCGTAAGTGTATGTTATTGACATTAAGATCTTGTGTTCTTCATGACTAATCTTGGAAAGCTTTCGCCTCGTACCGTTGCTTGTTTACATCGAAGACATCATGGGGATTTGCGGGGATGCGAGGTATAATGCAATCACTAAGTCAACTTTATGTCCCTAAATCAGAGATCTTTGACGATGAGTATTAGCTCAAATTTGGTTTTCTTCGAGTCTCTTTGATTTTGCGTCAGAAGTTGTTAGAAACACCTAGAGTCCCTTTATACTGAGAGTCAAGACAATTTGAATCCATTTCTGATTGGTTCTCGTATTTTAGGCCTCCACAGTGTCACAAACGGGAATAAAGATTACATTTTCACCAATTGCAAAGATTATAATCTGGAATGGACCGGGGAATTACGGGTTCGGCAAGGAACAAACGGAATGAGAGGAGGAACGGAGAAAGACATTTGAGAATGGGCCGATCAAAGATTACGAAAAACGTTCAATTTCTGTAATCTTTATTCCCGTTTGTGACATCCACGAGCCGAATTGTCTCGACTCTCAGTATAAAGGGACTCTAGAAACACCATGTGGCCAGTCAATGTGTAACAAAGTCTTTCATGAAAGGCATGTACTCGTTCTATTTTCTCAGCTTGATGATCACTATAAAATCAAGAATTTATATTGCTGCATAAATCACTTGGCCAAGTAAGTACGCAACGCCCATTCCTTCCCTATTTTAACAAATGAAAACTTGATGTAAACACGTCAAATAGTGAGGTTATGTTATGGACTTACACTGGTGGTGCAGCTACCGACTGTTAGATAATAAACCCTTAAATGCCATCCGGCTAACTTAGCTGCGTCCATTGCTGCACCAAGATTGTTGGAATCCGTGCCGCCGTTTTCTGTGAATTCCATTCTAAATCGAATCAATTTTCAGATTAAGGGAGTTAGGTGTGACTAAGAGTGTCGGCCACCCCTTTGCTGTAGCGACTTTAGTAGGTCGTCATTTTCCTCGACCGCGGGTGGCCACCGCCACTCTTGATGTGAAAATATATGTGGTGTTGTTGGTTGTTGTGTCACAGAAGTATTCCATCTTCACCGAGTGAGTTTCTAGCATAATTACTCCAGTGAAACAGTGCACTCTGAAATTAATTGAGCGTTGGGTCTATGTATGGTTCGCGTGCCTACCTAGTTCTTAGTGGAATAAATGTAATCAGGTGAATCAAAGCCACAAAAGATTAGACCAATCGGTAGCGTTTATGATCAAAAAGTTTGCGCCTAGGTACCAACTGCGGAACATGCTCTGATGAAGAGTTTGGGGGTGGTGTTTTTAGTCCGACGGTGGACAACAAAATTTCTAGGAATTCTTGAACTTGAGGCCATTGTAACTCGAGGTTGAAATTCAGTCGATTATTACCGGAATCGCTCAAGTTCAACGGAGTGCATAACAGGTATATGTACAATTTTCTTATCTTCATGTTTCAAGTCACATTCCTAGACGTTATACTCTGTTAAAAGAAAAAATACTTTTGTGGCCGATGGAGCTTGGCTTGACGCACACTTTTATTGATAAATTAAATACCTCTTACAGGAAATACTTTTTATAATGAGTGAACCAAAAAAAAATAATTTTAACTCTTTGAATGGACTTTCCACTTAGTGGTCTCACTGTTTTTTAATTTAAAATGTTAGTGACTGAATGTAAGTATGCCTAACAGTTGAGTTAAACGCAGTAAAAATTGCAGGATTAATGTTGAAACTTAATGAGAAAGGAATATTTTATGCGGCAAAAGAAGTTCATTCTAAGTAGCCTACACTATGACAATTAATTGCTAACCCATCAGTTTTTAAAACATTATGTACCCTATTTCGATGAGAGAAGTTTAAACTCACCAAAACATCAGGTAACTTTTATTGATTGCAAACTGAATCACCCCCTATTAATGTTTAGTTGATCAAACAAGGAGTTCCAGTTCTGCTCATTGAAAATATTATTCTCAGTATCTCTATCTCCAGCGAAATGTTTCATTAGCTTCACATCATTCCAAAAAAGACCTGATATAAAAACTACAAAAAACCCCAAAAAACTTTCAGATTCCAAGGGGTAAAGAATCCGGCCAAAGTCTTAAACTTGTTGAACCAAATTTTCTTATTACTCCTAAAAGAAAATTAAAAATTA